GAATTGAGGAATGATAAGGAATAAATGCAAGTATGGACAGTAAGCCACACGATGAATTGTAGGATCACTTTCAAAAAGCATCTTTAGAGATTAAAATTGTTCAATAAATGATTGAACTGATATGTGGGGACTATAGTTGCTTAATTGAGATTGGAAGTTGAAAGTTTTTCTGATTACATGATTGGTATACTTACTGTATTTGACTGATTAAAGAACTATAGTAATGATATGATTTGAAAAAAGGCTTGAATAAGCTTGCTGTGCATTTAAGGCACTGATTTGAGAAGTTTGTGGGTATCTTTATTGGAAACCTTCACGAGACTATAACTCATCCACTAGGGGCAACCTAAGGGTTTAAAGGCTTGTTGCATAGGCTAAATGCAACCGTGATTCCCACGAAAGTGGCTTTCTAGTTTTGTATTGCTAAGGGACTAGCAATATGTAAGTTTGGGGGTGTGATAAGCGCTAAATATAGGTATATTCGAGCTCCTAAATATATATATGTTAAGGCCTAAAGTGATACTTCTATCCATAATTAGACTAATTTATGTTTAATGTGTGTTTGTAGGTACTTTCCCAAATAAATGATTAAAACCGAGACTTTATGATGATATCGAAGCTTACAGAGTCGTTGCCGGTCATTTAGAGCAAACTGAGAGCTGAAATGGTGAAGTTTGAAGCAGTTCAAGCCTTAGAGCTCGAGCCCAAGTTTGAGGCTCGACCATCACAACAAAGAAAAGAAGAAAAGTTAACAGTACCTTGATGCTCGAGCCTTGACCCTGAAGCTCGAGCATGAGGCTTCAGAAATTAATGAGTTAATTTTAATTGAAAGCTATGCTCCAAGGTCTCGTGCCTCACCTCCATGATTGAGCACTATCCATTAAGGATCGAGCATCATCCACTAATGCTTGCGCATTGAGCCCCAGATGCTCGAGCATGGTACCTAATGCTTGAGCCTATGAAGCTCGGATCGAGCAATGTTAAAGGAGTCAAGCCAAAAATATTCTAAGTGTTGAAGAAAAAGACGCTTTAGAAAATAGTTGAAGAAAATTGGCTAAGTGTCAATGTGATGATCGAGCACCATTTAAAGCTCGAGCATCCGTTCCTGAAGCTCGAGCCTTGTGATACCCCTCGATTATAGAGCCACGGGTGATCAAATCCGAGCACAGATTCGAGGGATATCAGACAATCAATATAAAACAAGCAGGAATACAAAATAAAATAAGAATAAAATAATATGCTGAAAAGAATTCTAAAAAAAAAACCCTCAAACTTTAAATAATAATTTAAAGTTCATTTAAATCCTTCTTATTCGTACAACTCGGGAATCCATTTAGTGGACCCCTAATAATTTCAAATAAACAATAAATACAAAACCAAAATCCAAAAGTAAAACAAGAAAGGAAATCCTATGTAGTCAGAAAAGTGAGAGTCTGTATCTGCATCAACACAATCAAGCTCTAAGCCTGGCACTAACGAACACCAGAAAAATAAGAGTGGATTAGGCCCACATGCAAGTTCCATCCTACTACAATCCGTACATAAACCCGATATGTAGATACATCCTAGATAACTCAGTAATATCTAAAATAGTCCATATAGATATAGATACACACTATAGTATACTCACCAACCTATAGTCATCACACCTGAGTGGAAGGTAACACGCAAAACGCCATAGCGTAGTCATGCACACCTAGACCAACCAGGGAACGTCATTAAGTCCAGTTATCCATCCAAGAGATATACACACCTTAACCGTGATCAGGAGCCTCAAGCTCGTATCACGGTACCATAGGTATATATATAAATTCCTTCCTAATGCAGAAAGATAAAACAAACATCCGTTATGTCGTTCAACTGTTTTAGTTGACAGGACATGCATCCATGTAGGATTTAACTGTTTTAGTTAATCCATTCCGAATGTATGAAGAGGTAAGACTTAGCTTTTTGATTTAATCCATCTCCGATATGCCACCGTCGCATACCGGTGCATACAATGCATATGATCCTTAAATGATGCACACTCAAATGAACATCAAATCAATCCAGAAACCAGCATAATAGGAAACAGGTATTATTAAGATCCTATCATGCATCCAGTGTATGATTATAATCATAAATCATTCTTTTAAACTGCTAAAGTAATGATAAACAATTTAAATTATCCACATCCATACAATTGATCGAACATAAATTTTAATAGTTCATCAATTAGCATCCATAGTGCAATATAATAATAGACAGAATTATAACTGGGCACCTTATACTAGAATGCCAAAAATACCTCTATACTGATCTAGTTCGTTTACTAAAATAAAACTGGTAGACAAAACCTGCACCATCCTTGACGACATGTCAATTAATACTTAAATTACACGACGTCCCTTTAATCCTCACTATAAATCCTGTGTCTAATATAATGACACTCAAAAATCTACATGGAGTACATCTTATGAAACCCCAAAAGTATTCCCATACTAGTCCATTTAGGTCGCTAAAACAAAGCTAGCAACCAAAACTCCAACAACTCCTATCGGCATGTAACCTACTAGTTAGAATTACATGACGCCCCTAACCATAGCATAACCAACCTTCTTAGAACTAAAACATGTTATTTATATGATTGGTATAAAATCCTAACACTCACTTGTTGATTTAATTTAATTTAATTTCATTTAATTTGCTAGACAACTAGCAATTCAGTCCTCCTTCCTTCTTGACAGCATTACACATTAATACCCCCATAAGGGTTTCTGTTCAAAGGAGCTGGTTCCCCACCATGGGAGCCAGCTCTTCATCTTCCAGAGCCTGCTCTCCATGAGGGAGATCCGGCTCTACCTTCATGGGAGCCGGCTCCCTCACTTAGGGAGCCAGCTCTCCCCCCCCCCCCCCTGAGAGTCGTCTATGCTCCACTGCTTCGTCTCTGCTTCGTCTGGTTGCCGTCTGTGCTTCCGGCGAAGCCCACTGTCCAATCCCAAATCTTTTAAACATTCTTAGGGTTCTAATTTAAGTTCTTAAAATCCTAGAAACTCCTCATATTCCAGTGTGAATCCATTGTCAAAAACTTAAATTACAACCGAACAGTTTATGCAATAATACCAGTTTCAATTATAAGAATGCAAAACAGATTACAGAAATAATCTAACATGCATAAAGTCCATTTTAAAAGTTTAATTAGGTTCCTGGAGTCTATACAGAATGCACAGAATACAAGTTTACAGGAAGGAGATAGAATGAAACTTGCCTTTAGGTTTCGATTTGAAACCTTACAACGTCGCCTCTAAATTCCAGCAACCCCCAAGACTGTATTCCTCCTCTGATCACTGTTCCCTTCCTCTATTGCTTCTTGGTTCCATCTAGAAGCAACTCCCTTTCTTCCTCCTTGAGCCTCTATATGTCTCGATCAAGTCTCTCTCTGTTCTCTCTCAAGTTTCCCCCTGTTTTACCTCTCCAGATTCTTACGTGAATAAGGTTTCTCTAAACCTTTGCAGACACATACTGTTCTATATATATAGACTCATGTAAAACCCTAATCCTAATCCCAGCCTACTCATATGTCGGCTATCCTAATTACATAAATTAAAACCCTAAACTTAAATATACGCAAACACTGTATTAACGAATGACCAAATAGTTACATCCATTACAATTAAATAAATAATTAAATAATGACATTTAAAAAAAATAAACAAAGAAAAACAAATAAATAAATATAATTAACTAAATCATTCAAAACACATAAACAATTAAATTAAAACAATTTCTAATTAACAATTAATTTAAATACACACAAATAATCAATTAAGCAAATACACATAAAACAAATTCACCATTAATCAATTAAAGAAACAAAACACCTAAATCACATAATTAAATAAAAATGCAATACAAATCAAAATTAAATACCCATTTTATCCTTTTGAAAATTAGGGGTATTACAAGCCTTCCATGACATATCAGATTAAAAGCTGCGGGATTCCTCTCTTTACCAGCCGTATCTCATCCCAGTTGGGCCAGAAGACCTAAAAGCCCACCAAATACATATTTTCTTCTATAAAAGAAGGCGTAAGCCTTGATAGATGGGGTCTGAAATTTCAATATTTTTTACGGTGTTATTCAGAAGGCTGAAGGTGTGGTGGCTTTTAGGGTTCCTACAACCTTAGAAGTGCAGATTCTGAGGAGAGAAGTGCAGTCCATAACGATGGAGATGAACTCAACACAGATGCTATCCAGTCTCATCATAAGTAGCTAAACCCTTTCTTAGGGCACTTGATGTAACCCAACCTAAATACTATGGATTGATTGTTTTAACTCTGGGATTAATTTTAATACATGTATTTTCTTGATTATATGACTCTGAGCACTTGAGACAACTCAAGTAGTTTTCATGCTTTAATAGATTATAAACTGTTATTCTCTTGTCTTAGATGTAATAGTTTGTTCTCCATTCCCAAATTATCTTGTTGTGCGGTATCTGGTGAAGCCCTGACGGACACAAGAATAGAGGTCATATAATGGTACTTTAATGTTTTTTACAATGGAATGTTTTCATAATCTATGCTTAGGAAATGTGGTTCATTTGCAAAGTAGTTAAAGTAGGTAGAGTAAGTAGGTGGATAGTCCACGCTAACCGCAAATAGGTTATAGTTAGCTAATCTTGTAAAACATCTTTCTTTAAAACCCAAATTAAACAAATGTTATTGAGTTCAATTCTTTTGAAAAATATCATTGTTAAATTCCCAGAGTTAGTATAATTAACCACAATATGATGGTTGTGGTGAAGTCAAAACCCTAAGACATTTTCTCTCTGATCACTCAATTTATTTACTTTGCTTTTATTTAATATTGTGTTATAATTTTAGTTTGTAAAACTGTGACAACTAACAAATTCTCCAACCAAGTTATCTGTCAACCATGAAATTAATTTAAAGGCTAATACAAATTCTATCTCTTTTTGGGTTCGATATCCTCTCTACGTAAAACTATCCTATACAAAATCATTTGATTGTGAGAGATACAACAACGCCACATTCAGCACAATAATCAATAACCTCACTTCCCACAAAGGAAAGGCTTCTATCTGTGGTGAGAGTCTCTGGAATTCCAAACCTGTGTATAATGTGCTTCTTGATGAAATTAATAACTGTTGATTGCTCACAAGTCTTTAATGGAATGGCCTCCACCCATTTTATGAAATAATCTGTTGTAACTACCATATAAGTATGGCCATCTACAGATGGTGGTCTTAACTTTCCAATAAAGTCCAAAGCCCACCCTCTAAATGGCCATATTTTTACTATTGGCTGCATATTTATTGCTGGAACCCTTTGGACCGGGCCATATTCCTGACATGCAATACAAGTCTTTGCAAACTCTTTGCAATCTTTCAAAATGTTTTTCCAATAATAATCATACCTTCTAAGAAGCCATCTCATTTTGATTCTAGCTTGATATACTCCACATATTCCAAGGTGTGATTCTACCATTATTCTCATGGACTCGTTCCTGCTAAGGCATCTTAGCAAGAGACCATTTTCTTTACTCTTTTTATAGAGATCTCCATCAATCAAAATGTAATAAGGTGCCAAAAGCTGAATCCTCTTGTCCATATTGGCACTAGGATCTTGCAAGAAATGAATAATTGGTGCTCTCCAATCATCCAAGTCTAATTCATCTATATCAACATTGAAAATCTTCCATGTCTTCTTGGCAGGTTTGATTCTTTCTGGCTTATCAGCTTGGAAATGACCTGTCATCTCATACCGTGACTCTATAGAAGGGAGAGTCCTTCTTTTAATTCCTAGTGGGACTTTCACTCGGGAGGCTAGTTGTGCCAAATCATCAGCCTCCGTGTTCAAATGCCTTGGCCAATATTTGAGTTGGAAATCATCAAATTGGTAAAGTAATTCCAAGGCCAAAGAATGGAAAGGCCTCAAATGACAGTTGAGATATCTATATTCTTCAGAAAGTTGGCTAACTATCAAGTTGGAATCTCCAATAATCTGGACCTTATCCACCTTTAGCTCTAGCAGGATTTCTAACCCAATAATTAGTGCCTCATACTCAGCTTGGTTGTTTGTACACTTGAAATCCAAGAAGAAAGAAAATGTGGTTTTCCTTTCTTTTGGTGAAGTGATAACTATTCTAGCTCCTCCTCCATCATGAGTGCTTGACCCATTAAACATGAGAGTCCAAGATGTATAGTCAAGGTAGAGATTATCCACCTCGTCACATACTTCTGAATCTATCTTGGTAGAAAGGTGATCTGCTAGAAATTCTGCCATTGCCCTTCCTTTAACTGTCTTTTGTGGAATGTACTTGAAAAAGAATTCCATTAAGGCCAATGACCATTTTCCAATACATCCAGTGATCTAAGGCCTCGAAAGTATATAATTAATCAAATCTGTTTGAGAAATGATATACACGGCCACTGGCAACATATAGGTTCTCAACTTCATAGCCGCGTAATATAAGGAAAGACACAACTTTTCAATGAAAGTGTACCTATATTCCACTGGAGTGAGCACTATACTTAGATAATAGATGGTTTGCTCCTTTCCCCATTCATTGTTCTACGCTAAAAGAGTTTTAATGGATTCATCAGCGGCCGATAAGTATAATCTTAAAGGCCGCTTCTTGATTAGAGGCATCATCACTGGAGGGTTGGCCAAGTAGTTTTTCAAACCTTCAAAGGCTTGCTGTTTCGTCCACTTGAATTTCTTAGCACCTTTCAATTTCAACAATGGGGAGAAAGCATGAGTCTTTCCAGCATTATTGGCAATGAATCTCCTCAAATATCCAACCTGGCCAAGAAATCTTTGTAGTTCTTTCTTAATGGCCGGTGGCTTTGCTTCAATAATTGCCTTTGCTTTATTCTAGTCTATTTCAATACCTCTTTGATGGACTAGGAAACCCAGGAAATTTTCAGCTAAAACCCCAAAAGCACACTTCAAGGGGTTCATCTTCAACTTGTGTTGCCTCATCTTTTCAAAAGCCATCTCCAAATTATGGAGATATTGAACTTTAGCCGAGGATTTGATGACTACATCATCAATATAAACTTCCAAGAAATGGTCGATTATGTCATGAAAAATGGCTTTCATAGCCCTTTGATATGTTGCTCCAGCATTCTTTAACCCAAATGACATGCCAACCCATTCAAAGGTTCCAATGGATCCTGAACATCTGAAAGTCGTCTTACCAATGTCTTTTTCCGCAATATAAATCTAGTTGTACCCAGAATGCCCATCCATAAATGAAAGAATTTCATTCTTGGCAGCAGAATCTACTAACTGGTCAACAACAAGCATGGGGTATTCATCTTTTGGAGTTACAAGATTGATGTTCCGAAATCCACACATACCCTTAGCTTGCCATTCTTCTTAATAACTGGAACTATGTTGGAAATCCAGTCAACATACCTGGTAGTTCTTATAAAACCAGCCTTGTGTAGCCTTTCTATGACGACCCTGGATTTTTCAACCCAGCGTGTCCTGTGATGACCCGAGCCAGATCCAAGATGCGGAAGCAAAAGAATTGGAATGGCCTCAAAAGATGTACGTCATCCCTAAGGCATTGAAGTGACTCCCCATAAAGCCACTAAACTCATATGTGCCAAACAAATGAAGCAAGAATGCCTAATCCGAAAAGAAATGAACCAATGGCAAAATGGTCATTTCTAAATTGAAATGGGTGCCACTGAGCACACCATTAGAAAGACAATGAAAAATGAACAAGGTTAGACCCAAGAATCACCTAATTCTGAGTTCGAACGGACAAGATATGAATTTAAAACAAGGTGGCCTTCGCCGTTTAAGGATTTCCAAGAACCTATCTTACTAAAACTGGAATAACTCTCATCATATATGGAGTTATGATGTGTGGTTGGTACCATTGGATAGCTAACTCCGAGCTCTTGAACTTAGAATCAAGAATGACCAAATTTGGATTGAAAACGAACAAGATATGACCTTCTGAAATCAGTGCAACAAAGCTGACCAAGGAAAAACTGAAATGAGAAGTTCCAGGGAGGATCGGTCGACTGAAATGTAACCATCAGCCAGCCGTAACTCAACCGTCGGTCGGCCAAACCCCAATCATTAGCTGGCCGAAACAAGGTTTTTCCTAAAAAGGCTACAGGAATGGTCTCGAGGGAATCGTCGGTCAACCGGTGGAGCTTCATCAGCCGGTCGACACATCTGTTGCAGCTCAGAAAAGCTACTGCAATGTGTGTGTGTGTGATGCATGGTCTGTCTCTAAGGCTATCTAAGCCTTCTACATGATCCGGACATGTTTCAAAACACTTTCTAGGCCCGTTCAAACATCTAAAACAAACCAAAACAAGGAGGAGCTCAAATGAAACTCTCATGCATGAATTTTCATGAAAATTCATGAAAATTGCCTAAAAATAGGTCAAAAGTTGAAATTTAAGGGTTTTGTGAAATGTGGACATGCCCGCGAACGTAAAAAGACATTTAAAACGCGTCCCAATGGTCCACGACCTCAAAATGTCAAGAATGCAAAATATGACCTCTCAATGGCCAAAAATGCCTAAAAATGGAATAAATGAAACTACTTATGCAAGACCTAGAGTGAAATAGTGTTTGGCTTTTGGCCACACCTCGTACGTGATCATAGAAACCCTGTGAAAAAGAAAGAATGCAATTCCCATGCCCGATGCAAAAGTTATGAAACAAAGACTATTGATTTTTCAAGGTTTTCACAATGACTTTGAAAGTGAAAGTGTATAAAATACATAATACATGATATTAGCCTCCGGCCACATCTTATACATGTTGAATACAATGAAAAGAGTGTGCTTATGCACACTTTACATATATGGAATCAAAGAATACAAGTTTTGTCATAAGAAGCTACAAATCATCCAAGGCAATGAAATCTTCAAATTTTAAGTCCTGTACCTGAAATATGCCCTAGTAACGTAGGGGTGAGCAACATAAAGCTACTTGTAGGAGATGAGCATGCATCGACCTAGCGTTTTACGATTATATCACCTTATGGTGAAGCATGTCAAAGGGCTCATGTCACCTAACGTCTATGTCAAGAGGAGACTCAGGGAGCATCCTAAGCTACCCTAGAGTATAAGCAACAAGAATCAGGATACATAAACATGTATGAAACAAATCAAGATCGGGATAATCCAATGAATATAACCAGTAAGATAGCAACATGATAAGGATCACATTATCAATGCAATTTACATGATTGGGACATACCGATTTAACACGAAAAGAAGAATACACGAAGTCAAAGATAATGCACAAAATCTATGCAATGCAGCAAGGTAGAGATATTTTATAAAGCACGACAAGAAAATTACTCAAATATAAATTAATGAGAATTACATTATCGATGCAATTAACATGATTGGAATTAAACCAATTAACACGATGAGAATTATACACGGAATCAAGAACAAGGCATAATACCTATGCAAGTATACAAGGATGGAACATTCCATATAACATGACAATAAGTATGCTCGGACATATGTTAACAAGAATTACATTATCGATGCAATTAACATGACAAGGAGTATACTTGAAATCACGAATGAGGCATAATATCTATGCAATGAAACAAGATTGGAGCATTTCACATAACATGACAAGTTTAAATCGTCAAGGAATAGCAACTTGAAATTTAAAAAATGAAATCAACCAATGTGGAAACTCGGATATCACCCGGATTAAAACTGTACTCTTGAGATCACTTTAGGGCTACTAACCCATGGGTACCTTTCCCCTAGTGTGTACTATAGTTGTAGGAGGACATTCCCCCATACTAGAACCAAGTCCTATCCATGTCAATTCTTGATTGATATCCCAAGTCCCAAAATCAACGAGTTATGCAAATCAAGATTGTATCAAATACAATAAATACATTAACCACATTTCATGCACAACCAAGATTTTGGAGCATGCAAGTCATGCCCCTAGTTCATCAACTATCATGGCATATGAGATGACAAGAAATCATAGTATGCAACTATATGACAACATCCAAGATATATAGCACATGGAGTTCATTGAAGTAAATATACTACAAGTATAAGATACATAATTCAATTATTTTCTAAGCAACATATGAGTAATTAAATCATTCCAAGACAAGTGTGCATGTTCATTAAATATATTAATGAAACCTAGATACAAGGGGTCATGATTAAACCGATGGAAGCATAAAAAGGAAAATTTAATCAACCTAAGGGATTAAATTATCATGATTACAAGGCAAGTCCAAATGTTCTATGAACAAGGTGTGTCAAGGATCATATCAAGGTCAAGTTCAATGTCAAGTTACAAGTCCATTTCATGCAAGACATAACCATGTGAATTAAGTTCCATACAAAGGAAGTAAATGAATATAAGTTTCAAACTTATCCGATTATTCTCAATTTGATACACATGTGAAGGAATTTATCACGAAAAGTATGAATTCCAAGTTAGAAACTTGATCAAGGCCAATGAGCTATTGAATGGATTTTAATTATTACACTTAATTAAAATCTCTAAGTTTTGAAATTCATCCAAATGATCTCAAATTTAAATATGTTATACAACATACCATGACATGATTTAAAAACACGATACAAGTGAATTCCATGCAATGAATGGCTATGAGCATTAAACTTTAATACTAGAAAAATAATAAATGATAGATTTCAAAACCTAACCAAATATTCTAGATTTAATATATGTGAAACCATATAGCATGCATATAAAGAATGTCAAGTCGGAATTCCAATGGGGTGAATAGTACACCCGGAATAAATTAATTAATCAAATTAATTAAATATTACTAGATTTCAAAACAACTCCTATTACTCTAAAACTTACCTATGTTGAAGAGTGAATTAAAGTCTAAGATAATATGCTAACACATATTGTTTTCAAGCTAGCTAAGGCCATGTGAATTAAATATTTATTCAAGATAAATATTAAATAAAATCTTTAATACTTGTTCAAATTCTCTCAATTTAATATATGTCAATGACCATATTATAGAGTATTATATTACCATGCTACATGTTTAAAACAAGCCATGAACAACCGGGAAAATCAAATCCAATACAAGAAAAATAAATAATAAAATCTCTAGATTTCATATTTAAGCATGTAAACAAGTTTTATAAGCATTAATAGCATGTTATATAACAAGAATTAAACCTATAACACCCCCTACCTCAATTTGAGATGAAAATCTCAAAAGCCCACCGAAAAAAAGTGTTCCGAATCTGCCAAAACTCCTAGGTTTTGTCGGGGACAACACGATCTACATGAATCCAAAGGAAGCCCCATGAAAATCACAACTT